ACCTGCATGATACACATCTGTTGCTAACACATGTACCAAGAAAGAAAAACATCAATTCTACCACTAAATAATATGTATTTATGTGTAAAATTTTAAATAAATTGCAGACTAAATGGTAGAAGAAAGACAAAAAACGCTACAAACCTGATTAAAGGATTTTCCATCAGCTTTCTACTTACTATTTATATATATTACTGGTTCCCAATTACTGATGCATTATTAGGCATTTTAATGGTGAAGCAGGCCGAGGTAAAGCTAGTTTTAAATCCTTTATATTCTGCTGCATAGTTACAGCAGTCCATAACAGTGCATTATAATTTATAAGCTAATCATATGTTTTTAATTGTATGTAAAATATGAATTGACAGGATCCAGTAAGTATCCAGTAACTAGCTGACAGGTGCATGTAATGGAGTACAAAATGCAATCAGTGGCAGATCTAGATAAATGTTCATTGGGCGGCAAGAGGGCGACATGGGGACTTTAAGGGTGCCAGAAATATATGCTGATTTTTTTTATATCAATATTTGCTTGAAATAGCCCCCAAATGAAGATATCTGAACTCAAAAACATTACTGTACATTATTGTGGCACATTAGTAAATGTATTGTAGTAAATTATGTGTTCATTTCCATTTTTTAACAGGCAATTTTAAAAACTAATCTAAATTAATGTGTTTAATTTGAGTGCATTTGACACCAAACTGATGTTGGCAAGGCGTTTTTTTTTTTTTTTTTGCCACCGTTTTAGATCTGAGTACAATAACTTCCTAGGAAATGTATAAAGTATACATAACTAACAAATAATAGTTGTGCAAAGTTAACTATTGCTGTGGTTCCACTCACACAGCTTTAAATTGATGTCTGTGACACATCAGATTTGTTACTTTCTACTTGAGCCTAGCTACTGTCTCTGGTAAGGATGTATGCCACACTGAAGTTACCCTGTACAAGCTAACGTAACTCCCTACAGTATTCGTCTTTGTCACGTTCGAATGCAGCCCTACAAAAGGTGTTTGTCCTGTTAACTCAGGTCTGGTTCCAGAACTGCAGAGCACGTCATAAGAAGCATGTGAGCCCCAACCACACCTCCAGCACACCCATGACCTCCCTGCAGCCCAGCCGCCTGTCCCAGCCCACCCCGACCCCTGAGGAGCTGCAGTACACAGCCTACGGAGGCCCGGAGGGATCAATGCTCTCTGCACTACACTCTTTCATAGACAGTGAGCACTGGCCTTTTTATGATCATTTTGGACAATGCACATTAATGAACACTACGTATATGTGCCAGATATAGCCATACAGGCTTATTTTCATCTGCAGTCCCTGGTTCAGTTTGTTTAGGAAGTTTACTGCTTAAAAACTAAAAACTATAATTCAAATTTATGTTTTAACACATTATTGTTATTATTATTATATCTAATTTTTAACTGTACAAACTCTTCTTACATGTCACATGTGAATTATCTGAAAAACGAATTAACATGTGAAATGTGACTGGTTTATTTAAATTAATATTTAAAATAAAATATTATTATTTAAATTTAAATTTAACTTTATCTTCTCAGTAATGTAATGCATGTTTATTTGGTAATGATTTGATGTTATATTTAAGTAACATTTAGTTAGTAACAAGAGTTTCTCTTTGATTAATGGAAATGAAATAGAATTAATAAATAGTCAGACTTGCCCATGAACTTAACTGGAAGGATAATTATTTAAAATGATACAATCTTAATAAGGAAACATTCAAATAATCAGGATTTTTATATTGCGGTGAATAATCTGTAACAATCTTTAACACATTATAAACTAAGACAAAATAAACCTAAATATGATACTAAAACTTTTAAAAATGTCTTAATTAAACAATTATATATAGTTCGTTATATATTTTAATATCATTTATGGAAACTGTAATGACACCATTGCTCTCTGTGTGTCCACAGTACACTCTCCTCAATCTATGTTTCAACCGCTGCTGCCAGCCCACGCCATGACCTCGCTGCCTGTGTCTCACGCCTGAGCTGCTCACACACACACACACACACACACACACAGAGAGAGAGAGCCTCAGATTCCACCAGCGATGGTCCATCATTAGCAGCCACAGTATTCAGATATTCATGGTAAATATCATTTCATTTTAAGTGAACCATAAACCCTTTCCTTTTACAAGTCAATATTCTTTGAAAACACTTAATTCACTGTCGATCATATTATGAATGACTATAATTTACAGTCCTAAATGTACTGTATAATGTGGAAATGGAAAGGTTCAGTGTACCTCATAGGATTGTGACATATGACATAATAGATTTATATTTGTTTGTGTAGTTGGTGACACAGTTTGACCGTGGTACTCTAAGTGGAAGCCACCAGACCCAAAATGTCAACTCATTATGAAGGTGAACTTGAAATTGTTTGTGTTTGAATATTGCAATTTAATTTATTTATTGTATGTGAAGTCTGTTTTGAAAATAAATGTCTACTTTCACAAAACCCCGGGAGATGAATTAATGAAAAGAGATATTTTACACAACTGGTGACATGGTGCAGTGTTAAGACCTCAGTATGCATATTTAGAATTCAGGTAGAAAGTAAGTACATACAGATTTTATTGATAAAAATAGAAGTTACAAAACACATCTATATTTGAATGATAAACACACACAATATGTTCCCTTATAAAACATGCAACTTTTACTGTATAAATAAATACATGACAAGAGGGATTTATATTGTCGGCTTTCTGCACAAATGAGCAACAATAAATAAAACAGTTTGAAGTATCAACAGGTTAGAGCATTTCATCTTCAGCTCAGAGTTTGACTTCTAAGAGTTTGTGGTAAGAAATCTGACGCACAAGTTTTACTTGTGTCTACTTGTTGACTGTGGTTGACCAAAAGAATCTAATTTCCAGACATAGGAGGGAGGGGGAGGCATATAAAAACACAGTTTTTACTTCACTTATCAGATCATAGGTATTCACCCTCTTGGGAATGAAACTAAACCTGAGCTACGTGCACATAAAGACACAAAATACAACTGTGAGAATAGCGGTTATGAAAAACTAATAACGACATGCTACATGTGTAATATGCCACACTGAGCACTACATGCATCATTTGTCTCCTTTCAGATACACAAGCGTCGTTGTTTTGCTTTTATTGAATGCTTACGGTGTGCGTGTCCCGGCGTGTTCAGCTCAAACGGGGCAGAAGGTGTGTAAGTCTGGCAGTGCTGTCACTCTGAGGCACCATGAGGGCAGGTTCTCAGGTTTGACAAACACAGTACAAAGATTCACAAGCATGAGTCACATCTCAGAGATCTAACCGTGAGCATCATTCCAAGTGATGCATGAATACATTTAGGAAAGAGAAGACCTCACCAGACGTTTGAAGACTTTAAAAGAAAAGGACACACACTGTGTTAACTGCCAACAGCTGCGTCACCTTACAAACAACCTGTTGATATCTAAAACTGTGAATAACTCATTCCATTAAATGGACACATCTACACAACTGTTTCAGCAGTAATGTAAGAAATCAGGACCTGATGTCAGTTGCTTTGTCTGAGATGTGCTTAAACTCAAAAAAGCAACCAACATCATCAATCGTTCTCTATAATAAACAATGTTCTATTTGACTAATACCCTAATAATGCAATAATGAAAAAGATTTAACACTGTTTCAACCTTTACTAATAAGATACATGGGTGATCATTTTAAGAGCAGCCATTTACCACATTAAAGACATTGTAATGGTTCTAATTACTGGAATCGGTTTCATTGCATTGCCCTGTGAATCACACATACATGTGCCCATATCAGCAGCAGGTTCAAAAGCTAAGAAACAGCACCTGTGTATAACGGGTAGAGGGGTCTGTGTCACACTGGTTGCTGCAGAGAGTAAACCTTTGACTTTATGTGACGTTCTTCTAAATAACCAAACACAGAGCACTTTGCTTCCTACCCCTAACATTTGGAAAAAGACAAGAACTTCCATCACTGGCTCCTCATTATCCCTTTAAAAAGATCAAAATTAGTAAAGCATCTTCAAATGTAGACTATGTAGCTGCAAGAGGCAATTAGACACTTGAAGTGGCAATACTAACGAAAAGGCACTTAAACAGTAAAGCACTTAAAAAGTAAAGCACTTTGAACTGCGATGTGATTATATCTTGACAGTTAAATATGAAAACAGTGGACAATAAGTGGCAAATATGTTTCTCAATGTGAGACAATTTGAGGTTAAAGACTGTGATAACACAATACACAGATGAGCTAACGTTTCACCATTTCATGGCAAAACGAGTTCAATCAGCAGTGCATTCACACCTCCACAACAGTACAATGAGAAATCTGGTGATGTCTGTCACCACCAAGTGGTGAAAACTAGTAACTACAAGAGATTAAGAGCAAAACAGCTGATGTTTACCACAATCTCAATCAAGAAATACATCACTTGTTCCAGGAGAAACTTAATGTGTAGTATGACTGTGGCTATAAAACATATACAACAAACCATATTTTGGTTATAACTATAAGATAAAAATATATATTTACAAGAACTGTGTGACTAATTTTAGTTTTTTTTTTAACCTGACTTCTGCAGGTAGCAAATAAATACGAACTATCAAGGCCATAAATTATGAGCATGTAGGTGAATCTAATAATTAGAGTTATCTTTTGTCTATTATAGTATACAGTTGCAACTTGTGTACACTTATTATATTTGGCAAAATGCTTATTGCCACACGGGCTTATACCAGGCTTTAGTAAATTATCTTCAGTCTTTCTCCTTCCTCCACCTTTCGTCTTTTTTCTATGCCGTCGTCTTGATGTTCTTCTTGTTGAGGATTCTCCGCAAGGCTTTTGTCATGTAGAAGGGCTGGTTAGGAGAGCCGTCGTTCACCTCCAGATCCCACACTAGGAGGCAGCAGCAGCAGGAATATGTTAAAAGCTGACATTTCTGATCTTGTATTTCTGGTCTCTTTAAAACCAGAGACATGGTACTTTGAAAATGCACTGGACAATACTTAAACCATTTATGTTTATTCAAAAAAATGATTTTCACATTTTCATTGGATTTCATTGATAAAAAAAATTCTTCTATACAAAAAGAACACTGAATAACCTCCATACAGATGTGTGTATTATACTTAGTATTAAAACAGCTCTACATCTGAACCATCCAATAAAAAATTTACCAAAAATGGCTTTGACATCCTTTTATAAACTGTATCGCAAAAAGGTTCCTGGTGTTAGGTCTAAAACCACAGAATAAGAGGAACAATTTTTATTTTTTTCACAACTAGGCACATAAACTAGTGGCTGCATTCAGAAGTTTCCTGAAAACGGTCAGCTTCTGTTCAAATTTTAAACAAAAAACCATAAAATGTCTCTTTAAGTCTTGACCTCCCACAAAGTCTCTGTCTGGTTTACAGTACATCTATGACCATAAAGGAAACTTTTAAATGATTGTGACCTTTTTTTTTTTTTTAAATGATGTAAAAGAGAGAAACCTGTTTCGCTAAGTGCAGAATTACACACCATTTTTTGGATCTGTGTGTTTGTGTTAGTATAAATATGATGGATCAAAGCAACCTATAAAATCAATGGTAAACATCAACAGCCAGCAAAATAATCATGCTAGACAGAAGAAATAAATCACATGGTTCTTTTCCCATATGTGAAAGTGCATACACTTTTACACTAGAAGACCAAAGTGCGACAGGAGGGTGCCCCATAAGTCCATCACTTTTTCACGGTGATGCCTTATGCCATAGTCCATCAGTGGCATCTGTACATGTTTAAGCTCCTCATGTTTTGTTTGGGTAAAAATGCTCTTGTCATATTCATCTCAGCCTGTGTGTCTGTCCTGCGAGTTGACACATACCCTCTCAGTAAGGCAGAGGTCAGCAGAGAATACAGAGAAGAATAAAGAAAAGGAACATAAGCGTGGCAGAAAAAAAGGCAAGTATCTGAGTTGGCTCAAGAGAGGAAGTAAACAGAGGTCTTTTTCTAGTCCCCCCATGCCTTTTCTGTGAGGAACTGAAGTAAAAGCATGTCCTTTCATGTCCAGGCCATCCCTGAACAGGCTGGGATGCATCCAGTTTTGATGTTTAGCCCTACAGTACTCGCTCTCCAACGTCCAGACCCCCCCACACATACAGTAGATATGGAGAAGTGAGTGAGAGAGTCAACAGTTCAGTAAATTGGCCGCACATCGCTCAGGAGGCAGCGCATAATTTGGCACCCTCCTCTCCTTTGCGCAGGATCTTGTGCAAGCCAGGAGACATGTAGTAGGGCCTGGAAGAAGAACCGTCATTCCTCTCCAGGTCTTCACCTGAGACCAGGTCCCAGAACAGGAGAAGGAGGAACAGGAATAGCAGACAGCGCACAGAGTGACAGCCAGAAAGACAAAGGAAAGCAAAGACTTAGTAGAGATATATTTTGAAAAAGGTCATGCAAGAATTAAAGGGAGCTGAATGAGCAGGAAACAGTTTCAGTTTACTGTTTAGAGACAGTTTCAAAGAGGGAAGGAGTTGGATTCAACTGCTGACAGGCTATTTGACATTTCATCTTCAACCTAACCTATTCAGTACCAGTAGTTATATTCTTACACTGTCGTGTAATGAAAGACACGGCATACTTACAAAAGCACAGGAACAATGTGTCCACGCACATCGAATAGACGTTAAAAAAGCCATCTGCAATCATGTAGGATCCAAATATCACCGTCTGAAAGTATCAACAGGTTGCAGTCAGATTGCTATGTTGTCAACATTTACTCACTGCAATCTGTTTTATTATGCATCCAATGATCTGTATTTATAACAAGCACAAAAAAAAATCAAATATAATATGAACCACTGAGTCATAAATTATTCAACAAAACTAATTGGTTTGTGCAAAACTTTAATCTGATTTGAATAACTTGAATCTGGAATAACTGACATGGTGTGAAATGCAGTTTCCACAACTAAGAAAAAGTTGACACCAGGAAGTGTGTGTTCTGTTCTGGAGGCAGGTGAGGTGTTAGACATGGTGTTATGGAGGATGAGGGAATAAATTAGATGCCACTGCTGGGCCTGGCTCATGGTAATGAGCAGAGTCACTGAAAACAGGCTTCACTATAAATCGGTTCTAAATGATTAAATGTCATTAGCAAAATCCTTTGCAAAATGTGACAGATAAAATTAGCTATTTAACACATTTGTGGCACATTCTGTGAGGAAAGTGAAGTGAATTTTCATTTAATATATTTAATGCTCCAGCTGCCTTTTAAATTAAGGTTACTTTAACAAAACATGATTACAGGATTGCTCCTCTAAAAGGTTCTTACTGAGCCAGAGACATAAAACGGAGAAGAAGAAATTCATTGAATGATTTTGCACTGTACCAATAGAAAGGAATTTGAATAAAACAAAGCACCTTGTGTGTAGTTAGAATACAAACATATCTCAACCTCCTCAAGAAACTTCATTCAACTGTTATTGCTGGTACAATTACTCATTAAAAAGCCCACATTTGAATTCCTCACCAGAAGGGGGACCCAGCAGTAATTTAGAGCCGGCACCTCCTCTTGAATGACTGGTATTTTACGTGTGAAGAAGAAAAATGCAAGAACACCTGAAAAAAAAAAGATTACAATAATAATTCAGCAAGATTTAACAACAATAAAATAAAAAGCAGAAGCTATAACAAGAAATGTGGGATACATCACTGAAAGCAAATGGTTTGTGTGATAAACAACAGCACACCACAAATAATTTACAGATTTTTTTAATTTATGGGGATTCACAAAAGCTATAATTGGTTCAAAGGAGAAGAATAAAGGGCTTACGAAAATACAGATTTGTTTTAGTACATTCAGATCAATAGATCCTGTGAAACCTAAGGTCAAATAACACAATATTTTATACAGGGATTCGTGCGAGTAACTCCTACGGTTACTGTGGATTTATGTTTAAATTAAGATCTCACAAATTCAACCGAAGTTACAAAATGTAATGTAAGAAATTTTGTTATTCTCAAAGACCGGCAGACAGCCTGAGCAACAGTAAATTTCAACTTGCAATGAGGCAAACGGAGTGGAAACAGAGCACGTTCGTTGCAAAAATAACTGGGGGTGAGACGATTTATCACCCTCGTAATATTCAGGAGGATATCTCATCCTGTCTCTACTGCAAGTTTTCATCTATGCCACTGTGTGTGTCGCTTTACAGACCTTGGGTGACATGAAACTCACCGACACTTCCTGAAATAAGCAGTTTTCCCAAGAAGAGCAGAAAGTCTGTCACCTTGTCCAGGACAGCCACCCTGCACAGGGAGCAGAGAAAAGCCAGAGTGGAGGAGAAACGGAGAAGGCAATGTCACACACTGAGACACAGACTCAGGAGAGATCTATGATTGCACACACCATTGAATACATAATGGTGAGTAGGCTAATAAGGACAAATGTCCAACTGCTTGAAACAGTCATTTCTTGATTATTTCACTGGCACAGTATGTGTCAGTTATTTCACAAATCTGAACATCTTTTATTTTTATTAAATGGAGAAATGTAACTGTGGTATACTAAGCAGCCCAGAGAGTGTCTAATCTGTACTCTGACCCTTTTTAGATGAGTGGATCTGACACACACCTATAAGGAAGTTCTTACCGAATAACATTCCTCATCAAGAGGAAGAAAGCATCCTTGGAGGAGGTGCAGAAGTTCTTCCCATATATTGCTATCTGTTGGTGGGAAAAAAAGTAGACAGTGCTTGTTAGGGAGTATTTAAGCATGGAGGTGACCTGTAATAGGTTGCCATAAATCAGTCAAAACTGCAGGCAAAGTCTGTGTTTCTTAACTTACCATAATGTATGCATTTCTGTTTATAAACTTGATGAAATGTTCCAGGCACCAGAAGCAGCATTTGAGGCAGCAGAGCAGGAATCGAGCAAATGCCCTTTGAGAACCTGGGAAAACATATTCAATCATCAACATCCCATTTGAAGTAATCCTTAAATTGTGTGACAAAGTGTAGGACAATTGGTGGGTCACAACTCACCTTTCAGTTTGTGATCCAGGTACTCAAGAACAATTCGGAACAACTGCACCACAGCGACGATCAGAGAACCAAAGGCGAGAGAACCTGTGTGGTAACTGTGACACGAGACACCAAATGGAATAACAGACATTTAAACATTTGCGTAGAAATCTTAATAGATTCAATAGATGCTTGTGTTGGGAAATATCTCACTTTGATTCTGTTATTTATGAGACAAGCAGGTCCCAAATTTGACTTTTATTCATACCCGAGTTTTTAGGTGTCAAGTAAATATTTGTACACTGGACAGTTCAGTACAGCTCCCTACCGTATGGCTCGGCTAAAAGATGAGTAGAGCGGGCAGGCAGGGATGTCGTTTGGCTTCTTCAGGGCCCAGTAATAGGACGCGAAGGCTCCAGCCAGCGTGCACTGGCCCAGCGCAATGGTAAAGTTGACCAGCCAGAGGAACACGAACAGGTTAAACAGATGGAGGACTAAGATATAGCGGTGGTAGATGCACTCCCCACCGTAGAAGGCAAACATGCATTTTGATCCGGGGCACACTTTGGTAAAATTGGTCTGACTGAAGGTCTGAAAGAAAGCAACAGATTAGATCTTAATGTGTGGAGTGATGTAACATAATATTTGATTAAATATTTCTGGTACACATAAATTACATTAGTCAGATAAGAGTTCATAGCTGTCAGCCACTAATGTGAACTCTACTAATCTACATTAGAGCATTAGAGATGGATTCTTATGGTTCTCACACAGAACTCACTGCCAGCTACCAGATTTGACTTGTAGCCAATAAGAAGAAGCTATTTGCTTTGATTGATTACAGTTGGGAGTATGTTAAAAACTGACAAAAATATATTTCACAGAACAAGAAGAGGCAAAGAATCTGTAACACTTTCTAAACTAAACAAAACATAACAAAATAAACTCCAGGCAGATACAGTATTTCTCAGCAAATACACTTGATTGTGAGAGATTCACTGAAAAGAGTGGGGGACTAACCTCTGGATAACATGTGTGGTTGGCATACATGCATTTATCGTCAGTAGATGTGACCTTGTAGACTGCATTACCAGATGATGCTAAGAAGCTGAGGACAAAGTAGTTAAGGACAACACAAAGGAAAATGTCTTCCACACAACAATCACTCAGTTTGTTTTAATACATTGATTAAAATGCTATTTACAGAAAGTCATCTCATTCAACCAGACATTACAATACTACTGTAGGTCTGTAGAACACCAGCTTGTTTCCATTGTATATATGACTTTGTGAAAAATGTGGTGTTTACACTTTATCAATGCACCGGCAGCTAGAAGGATACACTGCAGTGACGGCCCAGTATGCGATGCAGATGGCCAGAAGGAAAAAGGTGATGATAGGGTAGAAGAGAGTGGACATGATGTAGCTGATGGCCCTTAAAACAAGAAAAACAAAGCATCTTTTTTTTAACTGTGTGTCATATGTATTAAAAGATTCAAACACACCATTTCATTTTCAAGGAGTCAACAGAGCTTTTATCTATACTTACTTGCTTCCCTCCTTCAGTAAGGCAATAGCAATGCGCAGCCTCATCCTCAGAAATATAAGCAGAATCACAATGATGGCCTCAATCACAGAAAGCGAGATCACTACAAAACAAATGAAATGTTTCAGTTATTAGTCGATGCATATATGTTCCACCATTTCACTTTAGCATTTAAGTTTGAAGTTAAGGTATGGCAGTGGATGACAACATACAGAAGATGAGCCACGTTTGGCTGAGCTCAAGGTAAACGCCGAAGTCTGTGTGGAAACCAATTTCAGAGATGGTGATATTAGCACCTGGCTTCCCGCTCAGAGTACTGTACTCCATGTAGCAGTGCCAGATACCTGAAAGACACAGAGAGACAGAATGAAAGCCAGGAAAGGAAGCAACAAGGTAAGACAAATCTAAATCTGCTACAGTTTGCCATGACAACAGAACTGCTAACAGCAAGGTAAGTGAGGAAGTCAAATCTCCAAGAAGTATACAGTAGCCAGTGGCTATGTGGGTTACTGTCTATAGCACATACTCACCGTAGCCGACCACAGCGATGACACCGAAGATAATGAGCCACAGGAGCACACCAGCAGTGTAGCGCAGCAGCAAGATAAAGATCAGACTGACCACCATGGTTATCAGGAAACCACTGCAACAACACAAACACATACATACTTGTAACAGAGAAAGAAAGAAATTAATTTGAACTTACATGATTTAGTAAAATGTTCTGTGCTCATCAAATGCTATCAGAATTGTCTACGGTTGTAAATTTCTTCAAGCGGGTAAGACGGGAGGAATTGTCTGCATGTAAAAGTTACTGCGTGAAAGTCTTCATCAGTTTCATCATTAATGTCCTGTTGGGTCTGAGGAGAAAATCGAAACAGGAACAGGAAAACCACAGTCATTCTTACATGAGGATCCAGTCCCAGGAATTTGCATAATCCTCAAAGATCTTCATGCCAACTTCTTTGGCATTCAGCAGATTGGCAATACCTCTGTGACGGAGCGAAGAGATGACATGGGAAAGAGTGGGAAAGAAAAGAGGTGACAAAAAAAGGGATTTAATGAGGACACGGATATGGGGCTGTGGCAGGTTTGTGCTTCTAGTAGCTTAATTACTAGGGTTGCTCAAGAACATTTTGACACTTTATCTTTAATGTTTAATTGTCACCGTTAAAGAAAGATGAATGAAGTTTCAAAATGCTTTTGATATTTTCAGCCACAATACCTACTTATCAGGTTAGAAGGGTCTGAAAAAATATAGTAAGTTTTATATCAAAGTGCCACAAAACAGCATTAGTGTTACTTAAACGCTATTGAGCAACAGTTTCTTCAGTATGGCGGCAAATGGTATAGCAGCGTGTTACTGAATGTAATACGGGGGAACACCTAGTGGAATAGCACATATTAATGGATGTGTTAGGTCAAGAACCAATTTATTTCAGTTCACAGTAAAGAAGAGTAACCAATAAAAATGGAATAAATGCTTCAAACACTCAACATAATGGACTCAATACAAGTTGTTTGATTTGTTTTACTTTTGTCACCTGAACTCATCTTGAAAAACGTGTTTAAGCCTCAAAATTACTATCAATCCATCTACAGATCTAAACTCAACCTTACCCTGATACCCTTCCAGACACACTGCTCTATGACTAAGATAAATCTGTAAAGTACAGACACAGGAGGAAAAGAGGACAAGCTAACATTGCTATGGGACAAACAGAACACTGAAAGCAGTTCTGAAAACAACATTATAATGAAGTGCTCTAAGTCAGCTCCCTAAAGGTCACTGAATCCAAAGACAAGAGTTTGGATCATATCCAGCACTGTTGTGCAAGCTTGCATTAATATGCATCTACAGTACTGTATCAAGGTAGCAAACCTAACAACCACCAGGGGGCACTACACCACTCTCTATTTCATTCTACACACACCACACAGCCACTCACATAGTAGTAGATGACTTGTTGTTTTGAGGTTTGAGGTTATGCTGCAAACAGTTGTATTAATATGTCCTAATTCCTGTTGCAGGTGGAGGGACGCAGAAACAGATTCTTCACGATGAAGAGCACGAGTGGGATTGTTAGTCTACACAAGCTATTGACTACAAGTGGAGGCAAAGTTAAAAAGCTGAAATAAATCATTTTTTAAGACCTTTCCACTCCTTGCTGCATGGCGGTTACTTGGCTACAAAGAGAAAAGCATTAAAGCACATTATATTTTTCGGGTTGATCACAGCAAACAATCATGTATGTTTCTAACATCAGCTCACGAGTGTAAATACATGATTTCTCTGCTTATCCAAAGTTTGCTATCTCAGCTCAATAACATGTTGATAGCGTAGTTTTACGAAGCAGCTGTTGTAAGCTTGTAGGTACCCTTGAAGTTCTACTCATGAACTTGTGGGTAAGTTGCATTTCCATGCAATAAACATGCACAATGACTTTGAATGTGGTTGGACACATTCCTGGGCATCAATGACATGCCCACTTGTCCTACCCTGAAATATCTGTCCAGAGCTCTCTGGGTGCAGAGCTGGCAGCCCTATTGACAGTATCAATAGTATTAACAGTTTTAAAACACTTTATTTTACAGGGGGGTTTATTTATGCACATTCTTTTACTACAGCAAGAATGCCAATCAATTTAATGACTTATCTACTTATAACTAACAACAAGTATAAACATTAATGTTGCAGGGAAGCAGATCTTACTTGGCAGCATCTTTGAGGTCGCTGACACTTCTCTGGTTATTGTCACCGTCTTTGAAGATGGTCTGATTGGCTACAGTTAAAATTCCATTTCTTGTAATGAAATCAGGGAAGCACCGCTGAAGGACTGAAACACATTTTTGTCTTTAGTGGCTTGGCAAACAAATAATGAGCTATTGTGGGTTACTGTGTTTACAGTTATTCATATTCACTTACAAGGTCTGCTTGGCACAATCATAGACGGGCAGTCTTCATCTTGTATGACTTCTGCAACTGACTGAAAGGGCAATAAAGGAGATGATGATTTAAATAATTGAAACGAGAGATTTATCACTAACTATTCATTCAACACAGTATTTGTCATAGTTAGAGATTGAGTGGAGGGCCTTTTTACATTTAATAAAACAAACTGTTTCTGTCATGTTGGTTTCTGTATTTAAGTAATACCGTGTGTGACTTGCTGCTGTTTATAATTTGTGTTAGGGAAAACAATTATTTTGATTCAAACGTAACTTTAAGTCAGTTTACTGAATTTGTTGCTTATGAAACTGGAAATTACATTGAAAAAATACCATAAATTCACTATTTATTCTCGTGAACCAAATAACTGTCACCATCACATGTATAACATCAGAATGTTTTACACACATAAAAATAGTTCCAATTTTTGGAATAACGTCAGTCTCATAGACAGATCTGTCAGCACTGTTTAATTTTCACTGATTATAGCATTGGTATAATATCATTATCCCTAAACACCAAGAAGGCAGATATGACAGAGCTGGACTAAATCCTGTCTGATGTAACAGTGTCATACTTGATGATGTGGGAAGGGAAATCAATGATTCAGTTCAAACAGTATGACTGAGCTGTTAAGTGCTCCCACACACCACCTCACTCTCTGGTTCTTACACACCATCATGCCAACGTCACCGTTACTGAACTGCCGCCAGACGACGGAACAGGGCTGTAATGTGCATCAGTGCGCTGCTAGCTCACTTCCGACTGTCTCTCAAAGCACATTCAAATGAGCTCTTTATTAAAGTGACTCATGAAATCTGAGGATGGGTGTTTAAAAGCTCTACAGGGCATGAGTTTTATGAGTTTCTTGTCAAAGATATAGCTGATGAAAAAGTGCTTCTACAACAGAGGAAGAAGGTCTAAACTCTCAGAATTAAGATATGAGGTTCAATAAATATACTTTCATCTAGTATGTAAAAAGACACAAAGGACCTCTACCCAGTGTCTCTCACCTTGCTGCCAATCTCGAAGCCCGGCTTGCAGAATTGCTTGTAATAGTCCCAGTTTTTGGTATTCCACGCATCCAGGAGAGTTGCAAATCTGTCAGGGCACTTGGAGACACAGAGCTGTAGGAGGCAACACGTCCTCTTAATGAGAAAGCCCATCAATCTTGCATAATCAAGCGTGGCGGAAAGGTTGGAGAGGAACATAAAGCAGTGTAAAAATGTGCTGCTAGAAGGGGCATCACTTAGTCTCTTACCTGGGTGGTAGGGCACTGGAGGTTAATTAAAACTGCAGGATTGGCACATTTCAACATGTTGAAGTAGAATAATATGGCTTTGTTTCTGCGGAGACAAACAATGAAGACGACATGAGGTCCAATTAGAAGGACTCAAAAGATTGAGAAATCAGTGCATTGCTGTGCAATGTTTTATCAGCAAGCATTTCAGCACAAACACACTCAGAGCGAGGGAGAGAGTGTACCGTGCCTGCCATAATTAATCACAAACCATCTCCTTCTATTGTGGTCAAAGCCTTTTGTGAGTGTAAAGATAACAATGGGAAGCTGACAGACAAATTGGGGAACATAATTATTGCAGTGTACTACAGTTTAAGAACAGATATGATTCCACTCACGCATTGGGGGTGCTCTGTTGGCCACAGAACTGACCGTGGCTGTTGGTTGGATAGATGACCTTCCTGGGGTCGCCATGGATCCAGGCTGAAAACATAACGCAACATTGTTTGGTTTAAACTGCATGGACTTTAACATGTGTAGCTATACTAGAATAAACCCCTGAAACTACTGAGGTACACAAAGCCACTGGTCAACATTTTCTTTCTCAGACTCTCTGTTGTCCTAAATGACACCTCGGAGAGTTTGTCTAGTTTTTTTTACATAACAGAGAAAATGATCAACTACCTACAACCATTACATTATTATTCCTTTCTAAATCAACAGGATCGTTCAGTTTTATGAGTGCATCAGGCCATGGCCATGTGTGTCTCTCAGTGTTTTACCAACACAAAAAATATGATCAAAACAACAATATAAATTTATTTGGAGGACTGCATGTATGCTTATCAATTAAGAAGTAACACTTCTACACACATAAAAAACAAACAACAAAATCAATCCAGTTTAATTTAGGAGTAGCAGTAACACTGAAATTCAATTTACTAAGCAATTGCTGTGTTTCATTTATTTGCCCAACCTGAACAACACAGTTTTAAGGCCTTTCACCTTGTCAATGAAGGATTGTGCAAAATGTGGAACAGCACAATGAAGGCAGTCTACAAGTCTTTGACACAACAAGGATGATGAAACTAAGAAATGATGCAGAAAGAACACCAAGTTCTTGAGCTGATTGCAGACATGTCAGTCTCTATTTCAACTCACATTCATTGTCATGGCTTCTGCTCTTTATAAATTATTGGGAAACAGTAAGTCCTTCCCATGTCCCATGCCCAGATTGAGACGTGACTCCACTGATAACGAGCTGGCAAAGGGACGACACTTTGGGGACAGCATCGGGACTTCATTTTCCCCTAATGTGTGATGAATACCATACATGTGTGAAAGAGGGGGGAAGGAAATGTGCTGGTGAGGTGCGCTGGATAAAACAGGACGTGCATTCGTATGGGACAGGATTAAACAAAAGTTGTGTGTGTAAAAAGGACTAAAAGCAGGAAGAGAGGAAGGAAGAAAATCTGAAAAGGGAAAACTTGAAGGAAAAGAAGAAAGAAAAAAAGTGTAAAGAGCAAAAGGGGAGCTGATGGGAAGATTCACAAGACTGCATGGCCTCAGTCAGTTGCAGACAAAGTGGAGTCTCTGTCACACTCGAGTGAACTAAATGGCTTCAAGAAAATTTGAATGAAATGAAAGCCACGGGGAATCACCGGTCATCCAGTCAAAAACTCGACAGGGACATCAAAACAGCGTTAATAACACAATCCCCTCAACCAGAGAGAGCCATACAAACTGCATGTTGTGGTAAAACTCCCACTTATTAAAAAGAATAGTCCATTCTCTTGGGGGGCCGGGCTGCATTTCTTAACTCCCCCACACTTTTAACAATCAGACATTTAGTTGATTAACCCACCGTGAAATTATTAATAAGTCAAACAAAGACATAAAATAAAACAACAGATGGTTTTCTCGTTAGGTGTCGGCGTATCCTGCGTAGAGCAGTTTGTGGTGAATTACGATATTGTTAAATTATTGTCACTTTTCAGCTTTCTGCTCATTCCACCAGCTAGAGATTTGTCTTCGTACGACCTGTCAGGACAGGATAAGTGAGCAATTCACACGTCCACACCACGGACCAGACCAGAACATATCACCACTGTTGTGCGTGTGCGGTTGGGCGTCATCATGAAGCTTTGTGTGATGTAATCGTGTGTCGAACTCACCCACGGTACCCAGAGCGATGTAGCCGAGGATGACGATGATGAAGATAATACAGCAAACCACATCAGTACAGCTCCTGGGAAGAAAAAAAATGTGTGAGAACAAATAAGAGATGTGTGACATGAAGCCAGGATCACTGGAGAAAAATAAGGTTATTTCTAAATGGTTGGTTGATGTATGTACTAATGCGACCTGGGGGGAATCTGAAGGACAGAAAATATGCATCGTGTGTTTAACCATTTCATTGTTAGTAATCATGACAGCTGCTGTGTTGAGTGAGTTTGAGCTCTATATCTAGGTGCAGTGCTGGCTACCAGGCATGACAAGGTGTCATCTGTATACTGTGTTTTCAGAGAAACTATAGTAGAGCTCTACTGACTTTCTAATGAGACCCTGAATCCCCCCCTGGAGGTAACTGTCCCACAGGCACAGAGGCAGCTATTTGAAGATTGCCTCTCTCTCCACAGTAGCCTCAGTCTGCTAGTTCAGAGCAGAGTCTCTCTCACTGTCTCACTTGTCTGTCTCTCATAACAAGCTTTCTTTCCAGCTGTCAGTCCAGCCCGTTCACAGCCCTCTTTTAAAACTGTTGAGTACTGAGCCCAGTCTCCACTAAATCCAGGTTAAATCCATTGTGCCAAGTAGTACCATACAAGGGACATACAAAGCCTCCCCCTAACACCATATGCTACACAAATTGACTCGAGACCCTCATTTCGTCCAGCTTTCAATCCGTCTCCTTTTCCATCCAGACGAGCAAGGCCAATGTCAAAAGGAGGCCTGAGCTCAGAGATGTGACAGTGTTTCTTTGAAGAGTGGATTGTCCTTATTTTGTATGCAGCATGGTTACACGGTCCTGTACAGGCACCACATATGCACGCTGCTCTTCAGCCTCCACATACCATTTCATTATGAACTAGCAGACAGCCAAGAGAGAGACAGGAGCATTGATGCACACAGAGGATCAGCTGAGGATCAACACAATAGGTTAAACAGACTAGTGCATTTACATTAAGATACAAACACGACTGTTTTAACTGTACGCTCAGTTATCATAGATTCAGGGTCAGCTGTGTAATTATCCCGGGCTGTTTACAAGTGCAGCTGCAGTTAAGAACAGTTTGTATGGTCCTGTATTAATAACTGCAGTAAACCTTGCAATCTTTGCTAACAGGCTGCTCTGATAGATTGCTTTGCTGAACTTAGCAACATAGAGGATTGGGAATATTTTCTGTCCCAGCAGGACTGCTAATACTCCTTGTTTCTCATCTCAGAATAAGATGAGCCTATTATCGCCACTCCTGAATGTGCTGT